CAGTCTCTCTGGCTCCATGAGCTCAAACGCTTCACCTCTCTCATGCACACTCCGTTCTCAGAGCGATCACACTACAGATCAACGACAGGCTTCTGTGCGACAGCAGAGGGAAACACAACACTGTCAAACCAGCTAGAAAAAGTGATTCCTGGCCAGGGGAAGAACAGGCTGGGTGAAAGAGCTGGCTGTACTTGACGAAATTAAATGAACATCACTTCCATCGAACATCACTTCCATTATGGATTAGAATGAAACGTACATGCCACATTTTCCGAAGGAAGCCTGGCATAATGTTTTTTGTTGAAATAAAGAGACTCTAGAGCGGTCAGTCATCCTGTCACACACTTCATCGGGACCTTAATTGGCATGAACGTCGCAAGAGCCAACATTAACACTTACACCCATAAACCTGGGACCTTGGGCAAACTTGTAGAAAGCTCACTGCTAAACAGTTCTGTCTGTCCTTACACTTTAAAACGTCTTCCCAAACCGATTTTAATGGCCCGTTCGCTGCAAAACAAAGAGGTCTTTTACATCCTTCACCGCACTCAAAGTTTCACCACTCTGACATAAAAGGCACAGGTCTTGTAAAAATGAAAATTGTCATCGTTTAAGGCTCATTTTCACTATGGATGATGATTACGGCTCTGTTTGCACTATTAAGTTGCATTTTGGTCGATCGGATCATATGTAGATGGGATACCATTCCTGTTTACACCTAGTGTTTTAAAGGCGTATTTATGGGTGATTGTGTGTAAAAGCTTTTGCTGATCTTTTAATCTAATGTTACTAAATAACCTCATGATATGTGTTAAAAGGTCACGAAACACCAAAACACATTTTTTTGAGATGTTGACTGTCATATATGTGTCTCACACTGTTAAATCCACTATTAGGACACATATATTTAATGAAAAAGTGAAAATTTGATGTTTTTGCGTTATATACAAAGGATTTGTTTTCGTTTCCCTGCTATGCGAGCGCAGCTGAACTGGACAGAAATATCTTTGTACAGAACATTTTTACCTGAGAGCTTTTTCGCATCTGGAAATGGTGATATCCAAATTTGCCACCCATCTTCCTTTTTAAAAGATGCGGCTCCAGTTTGTGTTGATTGTCCTGTCTCTACAAATTTGGTCAGTGTGGGATCAGTGTTCTTTGTTGATGTTTACTCAGAGGCAGTTAGTACTCTCAGTTTTTAAAAGACATACCTTAGTCAAAAAGATTTAGTTACTAAGTTTACAGTATATTAATATCACTACAATATTATGGGCTGAAAGATCAGCTGTAATGCTGCTCTCTGAGTACAAGCATATAAACACCTTAATCAAACAATTACGGTTGTGTTTTTTTTTTCTATCACTCTTCTCTTCACCCTTTCACCCTTCCTTATTTTATACTCTCATCGAATCACCTTTGTCATGGGGTCATAATGTAAATGAAATGTTCCTAAATGAAAGTGAACTTGCCGGACTGCAATTAAAGTAAAAAAATTCAAAATGAAACTCAAGAAAACTTGCAAAGTGTGCTGACGTGATGACGTTAATCGAACTATGTATGTGCTATAACATATCAAACAGGATCATGAACGGAACATTCAAAAAGCAACTCATATTAACACCTTAACCTATTATTATCTTGTTCAGATTAAGGCAAATAGTTTGATTACTGATGTCCATGTAAATGTAGTCAGTGTTGTGAACCGTACTTTATTTAGGCTTGGGTTGTTATCAAACTGTCTAATCAGTGCTTTTATAATCTTGTATGCATGAAAAAACTTAGACAATGATTTAAGTATCTTCTTTTGTGCCTTTATACATGCTGAATTTCCACAAAACTTCCAGATCACTTTTTAATGAAACATTTATTTGCACAAACCAGGCATAAGAGGACAGATCTCTGTGTGCTTCCAGCAGATTAAGATATGACGGTTCGATAGTGTTAAAATACAGGTGCTTTCCCCCTAATCCATAGCTGAGGAGCTCAGTGATGGGAGCTAAGCCTTTCCTCTCCTCCACTTTCCCATGGATTATGGCGACTGTGTTTCTCTGGAAACAGACTTCTATTAGTTCCATTACTGTGAGCTTAATCGGACCGCTCATCAGAGCTAGCTGATCCCTAACCTTCCGCAGAGCTGAGTTTCACTTGATGGCTTGTGCATGGAGAAAGGCCCGAATGCGCTCTTATTTGCACTAAAAGTCATTGTTTGACGTATTTAGAGCAGTAGCTCAGAGGCTGAAGCATTAACACCCCTCGAGGCTTGTCAAGTCCTGTGTAAGAATTTGCTCTCTGGTCTGCGCTGGTATATGTGAGCCCACAGTTTTTATGTAGTCAGCAGGTGGCATCATTAGCCAGAGAATAAAATTGAAAGTATTACCCCTGGGCCAAGCAATGATATCATAGCAAACCTGTTGGCATCTGTAAAGAACTGAATGGGGGGTACGGAGGTGCAAATTTAATATGGTTCTTGCTGTTGGCATTTGAGGAAGGCTGCGTGGATGTTAAAAGCTGAAATGAATCCAATCGTGATTGAAAAAGTACAGTTTGAGCTTCGATTTAAGTAATGTGTTCCTGCACAGCTTTATAAGAGTATCTGTTGAGAATTGTGGGGTGGTTATGACAAAGCCTTGTAAAACAGTTCAAGAGGATTGACCGTGTCACTGGGGTGATGTGGGATCGCAGAGCGCATGAGCATGCCAGAAAAAGGCTGCACATAAAGCTGCCTCAAGTGCGCCAAGGGCAAGAAAAAAACGTTTTAGTATTTCAGACTCAATTGAATAGTGATACAGCCCTCAATAAGCGTGATAAATATAGGAACGGAGCAAATGTAAAGCTTGGCAGCACATCAAAACGTCACTCTTGGCACTGCTTTTTTTTTTTTACAAACAACTGCCTCGTACGCATACACCTTTCTGTCTGCGGGATCAAACTCCTGTAAATTCACTTCAGTGCGCCTCCAAGGCATCTTTTATAAGTGCGTCACCATTTACACATACAGGATCCCGCTCACCTCCAGATAAACTTCTTCATTCCCCTCAATCCCCCTGAAAACGCTTAACTAGCCTGCCTCTGCCAGCAGGTTTGATCCTATTAAGAAAATTATATCACGTAGTATATGAAATCGCAAATCTTGAAGAAAAACAGTTGGGCTAAAGACTTGTGTGTGCCAGTTCCCTACAGTGTCTGACTGATTATTTGCAGATGGGCAATGCATGAAGCTCTCAGCCAGAGCAGAGGTTTCCCCTGGCATGCCATGCATGTGATTAAATCTATGAATGCCTCCCAATTTACATCCCTGTGGATTTAGGAACGCATATCAGCCATGGTGTCAGCAAGTGTCTTTATTTGGGCTCAAGTTCAACTGAGAGCCATGTAGGCGGTTGTTCTGTCACATGCAGTCAATGACTGATGTTTAAGGGTTTGAGGCTTAGGGGAGGGATGGATAAGTTTGAAATGTTTGACTTCCAGCCCCCCTGTGTCCATATGCATTGGCTAAGCAATGGAAGCCTCATATTTGCTGATGGGTTAAATCCCTGTGGCGCTTAAGTGTGGATTGTTATTCTTGCACCAGTTGTTCAAAGCTTAATCAATGTCTGTCTGTGAGATCAATTAAAAGCGGCTTAGGGCAAAAGGAGGGTCAGGCAATTTGAAAAGGGGGGAAAGGAAAGCTCAACTATTCATCAATTGTCCACCAGACAGTGCCGTGCTGTGCGGTTCTGTTATAAACTCTGTATTAGAGATTTTGCCAGATTCTTAAAGATTATTCATACATAGTGTTTTCACTAATCTCCTACAAATTAATGCCAATCAACTCAGCTCAACATAATGAGATTTGACAACATAAAATAAACGTTTTAATAAAGTGTGAGAGTTATTCAATGGCTTTTTAACATGTCAGTTATTTTCTGGACAAGATATAAGATACAATATCGCACACCGCATTTATTTTACTAAACTTACTAATCGTTTTATCTTAATCGATTTTGAATTAGAACATTTCACATTAAATATATACCTCACATTTTAATGTTTGACACCAGTTTTATAGTTTTAAAGACTGTTACATACCTTTAGTAAAAGTAGTGTCTATTGTTTTATGGAAATCACTCCAACGGCTAACTGTTACTATGGTTACAGCAGGACTTCTCTAGCTTACTTAAACGTTTAAATGTGATGTTTTTATTGTGGGCGGTGTATTTAAACAGCTTGTGCGAAATTTAATGTTAATGAACCAAAATTTCATTTCAAGTTAGGTAAATGTGAGTTTTAAATACATCCTCATTTCAGAAGGCGCGAAATTGACAACAAAATCATCGGCGTCACACGAGGATCCCATTTAAAGACAAAGACGTTTTTTCACGTTTTTGCAACTTTATAATTATCATCTTTGATTTGTCACAGGACTCGCAGTGTCAGGATTTCCGATGCAAACTTTATAACGGTAAAGTTAAGTTATAGCAAATAGTGATTTTTACAAATACACATTTAAAAACCGGTCAGGTAGGCTAACTTATGTAGAAATGTACAACTTTTGATTCAGTCGTCGAACACAAGTTTTAAAACACCTCAACGTTTACGTAAAGGTGAATTGATTCAACGTTTTGGCAACAGTGGATGTCTAAAACTTGGAGAAGTTGACCTGTGATGGGTTGGATAGCCGAAAAGAACACATTAAATTATTCATGAACATCACTGAACCATGAGCTCTAGTACCGACCATCTTATAAAATTGACGATTAGGCTATCTCCAACTTAATAAACTATACTGTAACGTTAAATCTGTGGCGTTCCCATCCCTTCCATCATAAAACCAAAATGACAGAAACTACTGTAAAAGCGTAACTTCAGTTATGCTAATTTTGTGAGAAGCAGCACCAGGTGGGTCATCTGTCCCTCTCATAAGCGCACCGTAAATCAGTGTCCGTACAGAAGCGTCAACTAAAAGACTAATTGGTGAATTAATAAAGCATCTATCAAAGCCACATGTACAGTTCACTCACCTCTTTTGTTTCTTCTCCAGCGGTGGGACTGCTGCGTCTGACAGTGGCTGTAGTCCACACAGTTCAACACAATCAGCGCAAATGAGAACAGGCGAAACTGCATCTGGGCGGCTGTATGAATGTCCCGACTCACGGTAGAAAGCGTCAAAGGTACTCGCCACGAGCCTTCAGGGTCCGTATATGAGCTTTCAATATGTATATTTTTCCACAGAGGAACGGGGAGTTGAGGAGTCCGGACTCGGCTGTCTCACACATTAGAAGGGTAGAGAAAACACCATTTCTCGCCACCGGTTAATGTCATTTTAGAGAGCGAAACGCGCTTTTATAACGTCCAAAAGTGTCTGTGAAAAGTGAAACAGCTTTAAACTTAAGGTTATTTGACCAACAAGCACAGCTTAATGGATGTACGTGTTTGCGAGTGAACTATTTCATTCAAGAGAACTTCGAATCTCCAAGAGCGCACGGGACGCGATGGATGCCCTCAAACGAGACGCGCGGAGCAAAGAAATATACCTGCGCGAGTCCACTCCAAAAAAGAGAAACTTAGCCTATACATCAAGTTCCTTCCGAATGCCAAAGTAGACTTGGAACATCCAGCATCCCTCTCGCAGGAAAAAGTTTAGTCCTTTCGTCTCCTAGACAGAGTCAGAAAACACATGGACGCATCAGTCTGCAAATACTCTAGAATAAAGCCTTGAGGTGCATTGAGGATGTGTGTGTAACTGTGGCATATGCTGCAGTGCTCGGCTGGTGATGGAGTATCACTCTACTGGTGCTGATGCTATATAGGCACTGCTGTCACGTGGAGTCTCCAAGATCTTTTCGGAGCACTTTCAGAAGCCCCTCGGTCAGAGAGAGGGCTGCTCCCCCCTCCTTATTTAACTTTTAGAAGATGACAAATGGAATTTCTCCCACTGTATCTATACCTCACATATGAGCTTCCCCAGGGTCCTAGTGCATTGGATTGATTTAATAATACATTTTTAATGAGTACATTGTTTAAATGTGACTTTCTGATCCAAAGGATAAACTGAAATATTTATCTTAATAAAAAAAATAATAAATCATAATGTAATTTATACAACAACCTCCAGTTCAATTTCTTCCTTCAGTTGGAAGAAACAAACATAGTCTAAGCTGGTTTTGCTAGTTCTCAGTGATTATTTTACGTTGGAGGACCAGCTTGGCCAGGCTTTGGGAATTGTTTAAATCTGCTAAAACCAAACCGATAGTTTATTTGTTTTATCAACAAAAATGAACTGAGAATTAAAAATACCATATGTAGAGAAGTAAAAATCATATTTTATATGACCCACTGGTGTAATGATGTGAAACTGCTTATTGGCATTTAGAAAATCAAAATCTAAGAGTGCCAACTATTTGATATATTATCATAAAAAAACAACACATTTCTAGTTTCAAGATTATTTCAATACGAGATTCTAAAATTATCATTTAAAAAAAAAATCTTTAGACCATTTAAAATGGAAAAAGGATTACTGCTAAGGCAATTCTCCTTAAGAAGCTTCTTTGCCAAAATGGACATTAATTGCTTTGAAATCCAAGAAATGTTTTACCCAGCTTGACCACTAGGTGTGGCACTTAATCTTTTATTTATATATCATTTTTACCCATGTTCTCAATCTCAATATATCTACATCTCAAAATGTGTTCTCACTCTTGATATTTTGGCTTTAATTAGTTGGAAATCTTCCAAGTTAGTCAGGGTGTGCAGCACCCGATTCAGGTACTGATGTATACCAAGCAGGTGTTATGCAACAGCCTAGGTATGGTCCATCTGTCCAAATATAAACATTTGATATATTTCACACGGACCTTACGTTAGGATCCTCAGAAGTGCGAGAGAGAGAGAGGAAAAAAAAACATTTGTCATTTCTAAGTGATGACACTCTCTCCTCCAGACCCCTTTGATGTTCAGATCAAAGTGAAATTCTCACAAAGTCGATGTTAATTATATGACAGCTATTTGTCTCTATCAGAACACCACAAAAGAGTTTCATTTCTCATTACAAACATCTTACTGAAGACATTTATTCACCTGCCTTCATTACTAAAGACGTATCAGGTTGCTTTCCTCCCTAGACCACCTTTCGGTCTTTACTTAAGCGCACTGCCTAAATATAAAAATCACCTGAAGTGATTCCCCAAAGCTTCTCCATTTGGGAAAGACTCCATAATGATCTCATATTACAGAAAAGCCTGCTCTAAATATAGGCCTCCTCTTGTAAAAATGCATTTGCAAGTTGGAAAACAAGGATTTATTAGGGAACATACGTTGTATATTTTAATTACGCGGCCTGTTTTTGAACAAATGTCTAACGTTTTTCAAGTAGGGAATGAACAATGCGAAAAAGGGAAAGATTATGTAGCCCTCTTAACCAAAACCTACGTTGACCTTTTCGTTTGGGTGTTTGTTTATTTATTTTAAGTGAAGTGACAGACGTTGTGGTGGACAACCTTCTCAGCCACACGTCTGCTGTTGGTCTGGATGTCTTACTAAAACAACATCTGAGACAGCACTCCTAAGGTGAATGTGATAATTAAGGGCTAGGAGGGTTTTATTTTCGTAATGTGTCATGGCACAGGACCGGTAAACCAATCACTTTAGCCCACCCCCCCTTCTTCCTCCCCGCCCGCTCGCTTGCTCGCTGGGAAAGTAAAGGTGACGTCAGTTGTTTTAGATGTCTGGCTGGGAGCCCGAGCGCTGTGGCAGCTATAAGCCCCCTCTTCACTCGTCCAGAGAGACAGGGCCCATAAACATGTCAGCTGATAGAGAGGCCAAAGCAGACATTAAGACACGCTTCAAATCCAAGCCTGTAGCGTCTGCGAGTGCTTGTGATGGAAATAGAAAACGTATAGACTGTAGGTGTCACAAGTGGAAAATGGAATGAGATGAGAAAGGTGGAGAGGCATTATGTTGATTGTCTATCGCATCAGACATGCCCGTCTGTGAAAACAAAAAAGTCAGGACGATCACCTTTCCTTGCCCTCTTCGCCGCAGCGGACCGTAAATGCAGCAGACTAAACACTCATTCATCATTACGGCGCACGCATGTGCCGCGGCACAAAACCCCCCGATCCCACTCGGTGACTCAGAGGACATTAAAACTTCATCTATTACACAAAAGATCACAACCACTTAACCCTCAACCGCCATTCGTAATGTCCAGGAATAAAACGCAAGCATGAGGTGAACTTTTTTTTTACATTTTTATTTAATACCAGATGCATTGAACCCAAAAATAAGGCCGTTTTCTCATTTCTTCTTCAAGGGAGTCGAGACGGAGAACAGGATGTTCGGCCGCAGTATGGGAATGCTGGAAGCGTACGGTCTGCAAAGATCCACTCAATAAAAGCCGGCATCCTGAGCCGCCCAGTTTGGAGTCTGAATAGAGAGGGAGAGAGAGAGCCAAAAGGTGTCACGACCCAAAACAAACGCAAGGTGAGGTTATTAGAAAATCATTGAACATGAGAGACTATCAACTGCAAAACCGCAGTCTCTTTGCAAGTACACGTCGTTCACGTTCGCACCTTTCCGTAGGGGAAGAGAAAATGCTAAATTAAATTGCGTCTGGCCAAACACATCAAAATACAGGACTGTGTGTTATGGCCTTTGCCATTGTGGTGTTTGTGTGAGTGAGTCATTTAAAATGACGTGCTTTGAGGGATAGAGACATTTCAAGGCCGCTATTTTGAAGCGTTCTATTTGAAACGAAGCGAACGTACATCGCAGGCCAATCAGTGCACAGGGTCAAGATCAAACAGACACAGACTGGACCCCAAGCAAAACATCTGCGGTGACTCCTAAACGCATGGAACGCCATGGAGCGTGTGTGTGTGATTGTGTGCGAGCGTTATTTACTCTGCCGCACTGAGTCATGGGACTCAGACCCTCTTCTTTATAGCTGTGCTGTGCTACCTTGTCATTAAGCCTTTGAAGAAAAACGGCATGATGAAAGCACTTGCTCTGTTAAACTTGCTCTTACTGGTTTACACCGTTTAAAGACAGTTCTGGGCTGATTGCCGCTCGACATTCTTCTGGACAGATCATTTGTGTGTGTAAACTACAGGGCTCGAGACAAACAGAGATGAGATCAGATTAAAGAAGAGATGCTCTGGTGCTTTGACCTCATTCCGGTTTGCGTTGCTCTGCTTCTTCTCGATGTTCATGGCCAGCATTTGGCTTCGGAAAGAAAGGCTCTTGGTTTTCTCGATCACCTGCTGATATGGTGATATGGCGTTGTTGCCCATCACCACGTGACCCTGTCGAAGGAAAGAGGAGAGGAAAAGAGCATCAGAGCTAAACTCGCGGAATGGCAGCTTTTTTCTGTTCCCACAGACACACAGACCAGTATTCACAACCTCCACACGGCCAGCTTAAACCACACAGATGATTATTCCAATTCATTCCAGTCCAGACCTGAAGTCTGGTTACTTTGTAATTTGTACAAAAATAAAATAAAAATAAAAATAAATAATAATAATAATAATGACTAATTCATCACCTAAGAATTTTAAGGTTCTATTTGTGTAAGATAGTGAGCTTCAAAGTTTTTGTATTCCTTATAGCAAACAATATGTGTGTAACAGTTTTCTTTTGTACATTAACATGACAGAGACCCTAAATGTACTCAATGTAAATGACCAAAATTCTCTTACATTTGCAAATTGGAGTAAAAAAACCTCGGTAAATGCAGATAAAACTTTAATTCTGAAAAGTCATTTTTCACTTGGAATTATACGGCTCTATTTGGCAGATCATTCAATGAAGCATTACTTTAAGAAATACAGTAAAAAAATATATATATAAATTGGTGTTGTAACATTATGTTGATGCTTGAGAAAGTTTGCTTTCTATAACATTTATTTCATGTTTTAGGATGATTTTTCTTGTTCAAATTAAGCATACAAGACTGTGCTAAATATTTTATCCAGTGCAAATGTTAATTTTATCTAATTAATATGTTAATATTTATTACATTTTATGATTTATATGATTTATTGAATTATATTCACTGAATTATATGTCCCATTCATTAAATCAAGTATTTGCCCTTTAAGGCTTAATATTAAATTTTAAGA